GGTCAATGAATAGGAAAGCATATAACCAACATATTCATTTTTCAGCAGGGATTAACATGCAGACAGGGATAGGGATGAAACGTACTAACTGCAAATGCTCAGGTCGAGCAGGGGGAGAAGCCATTGAACTGGGCATTCCAGGTGAAGATGGCATCGTTGAATGCTTAGGACTTGATTCTATTAGTTTATTCAAACGGAACTATCTCACACCATCCAAACTGCCAAGAGCCTGCAGGATGAACCAACATGTCACATTAATGGCTTCCTCTGTGACATTTACAGGATTTGAGAACTAGGACAGAGTATTCACAAAACGCTTCCTCCAGGGGCAAATCTCCCCTCCACGGACCAAAGCACTGACCACAAGGATGTTTGGAGTGTTAAACTGATCTCAGAGTGAGAGAGAAAGACACTCACCAGAGATATGTGCATTGAGGCATTGTGAAATGTATTTCCTTTTCTGTTTTGCAAACATTGCTGCCCATTTGTCTATTTATTTGCTTACATCACATCTTCTGAGAGTGCCAGTGGTAGCAACTGAAATGACAGAGTGAATATATCCCACTCTCTGTCCTTAAAAGAGGTCCCGGTGAAGTGGAGATGATAAAAGAAAAATAGCACACTTGAACGTCCTTCATCTGGAGATGCTACTGAATTGAAGATGCACTATCACTTTGCTCACAGCTTCTGAGGATAAATGCAGTGCTAGGTTAAGTGTACACAGTGCATTTCAATAGCAGGAACATTTCAGTGTGGAAGAATGTGTAGAATTGAGGAAGCATACGATAGAATGTGAAATGCTGAGATGGAATTGCAAACCTTGGTGTGAGGGAAAATGGCGGTGGAGAGGCTTCTGCCGCTGGGACGGGGCCCTCCATTATCAGCAGTGATTGTGCCAGTAACTGCTATGACCTCAATGTCTGTGTTCTCCAAATTTACATGTGGAAATCTAATATCCACTGTAATAGCGTTAGACATTGAGGCACCTAGGTGATAAGAGAGCCCCGGACTCTCACGAACGGAATCAGTGCCTGGATGGGCTGAGCTGGATAGAGCATGCGTCCACCACGTGAAGACACAAGTTCATCCGTGAGGGATGAGTCCTTCACCAGACACCCAATTTGCTGATATCTGGCGCCTTGACCTTGGAGTTCCCAGCTTCTAGGACTGCGAGCAGTGAATTACTGTTGTTTATAAATGCCAGGGTTTGTTTCCTGTAGTCCAAATGGACTAAGTAGCCATTCACATTTGTGCTTCTGAGAACTCTCCAGAAGGGCCCAGGACTCCTATAGAAAGGGAGAGCAACTCAAGGGAGCGCCAGAGCAATGCAGTGAATACTTCCTCCTCTTGGCATCTTCTCAACACATTCCCCATCGAAGATCAGAAACACACCAGAACACAATGAAAGGCTGCCTAATTGTATTTTAGGGCAGAAAAATCAGGAAGTTCCCTCTCTGCCTTGACATTAGCTAGGGATTTTGACTTTCCGATGACTGTCTCAGAGGCCTGTTCCAAAGGCATGTGAGGAAAGTGTCTAGCACCGTGTCTGTCTGTCTAGGAGTTTTGTGAACTTCCCACGCCATGCTTAGTGTGGTGGTGGGTTCCTGTGCTGTTTCTCTAAGTTGAGCTGTCAAGATTCCTCTTCTCTCCCTGGAGGCACTGTAGCAATTTGGAGGTATAACTTAGATCCCAGTAAAATCTGTCACCCTGCAAACCCTGTTCCAGTGTTGCCCTTGGCATTTTCTCAGCCTTTTTTTTTTTTCACATTGACTCATCAGAAGCTGAAGCTGCATTGTGGCAACAGACTCAGTTCCGAGTTCCTGGTCGGTGGAGACAATGACTTGGGGAGACCTGCTTTGTGTGAGGGACTCTGGAGCTCAGCGGCTGTACTTGATAGAAAATGCAAGGAATGCCGAGGATGGAAGGGAGCTTTGGTCTCCCCGGTGCTGACCACAAAGGAAGCTCTCCATGTGCTGGCAAGTGTTTTAAGCTCTTCAAAGATGGAGAACTCCCTGATTGTCCAGGCTGCTTATTCTGTTTGAAGATGCTAGTGGCATAAAAAGATTTTGTTTCATTTTGTTTATGTTCACTCATGACTCATCGATGGCACTTCCTCTGGAATTGGTCCCCATTCTGACATCAGACACTGTTTTGAGCCCCAGGGGAACAGCACTGAGGAAAGAGATGAACAAAAATTCATATTGTTGTGCTTTGTATTCTAGCAGAGGGACTATATAGTAAATGGGAGTTATATTCCACCATGTGGCAAGTATAAAGTAAAAGGAATAAATGCTAAAGGTTTGGGGGTAGGTATTTCTGAGAAGATGATCCTTATGCAAAGATTTGAAAGGAATGGAAAGAGTCATTAATCAGTTGAGGAAAAAGTACTTTAGTCAGAAGGAGTAGGTGTGCAAAGGAAATCTTGAAGCAGCTATGAGCCTGGTATGTTCAAGAAACAGTAAGGGAGCCAAGTTGCTGGAGTGAGCAAGAGGGAAACGAAGAGATGTTTCAGAGCAAAGTAAGGCAGATTTCACGCCCTTTAGGCTACCATAAGGATACAAGGGCTGCTTGGATTAAAGCATAAAGATTTAAGGGTTTCTATGATTAAAATGGTAGATTTTAGGATCTACCAAGATCCTAAGAAGTCAACCTGAATTGTTTACCATAGCTAAGATATGGAACTTATCCAGAAGCCCCTCAGTAGATAAGTGGATCAAGAAAATGTGGTATATATACACAATGGAATTCTATACCTCCTTCAGAAAGGATGACATTGCCCATTCATAAGGAAATGGAAAGAAAGACTTGGAAAAATCATATTAAGTGAAGTAAGTCAGACTCAAAGAAACAAAGGCTCCATAGTTTCCCTTGTTTTAATAATTATATGTCTAGGATAGTCCTAGCAGAGGATCACAATAGCTCAAGAGTAATGTACATACAATGCCAATTGAAATGAACCCCAATGTATGGAAACAAGAGGTTTTGTTTTTGTTGTTGTTTTTAATGTGCTGCGTGAAATTGTCTCTTTTTTCTTTCATTTCCCCCTCTTTGGTTTATTCCCTGTTGTCCTTGTCTTTGATTTTGGTACTCTGTGTCTTGTATATACATTTATCTGATTTGGGGAAGGGAGAATAACATAACAAAATGGCGAGACAAAGGACAAAGGGGAAACCAATGCTACAATGATACTCACAAGACAGTAGATTGGAGGTGAACTTTACAACTTGAGAGGAAGGGGAGTGGGTGGGGAGGGAAAGTGGGAGAAAACCAGGAAGAGGGTATCACTGTTCAACAAGAAATGTACTCATTACCTTACTTAAGTATATGTATGCAAAGGTAACCCCTCTTTACATCAACCTTACCATAAAATAAAATAAAATGAAAAGAAGTAAAGCTGAGTCTTAAGGACGTAGTAAGTGGAGAAGCATGAGGAAATTTCATGTTTCAGATCAGGCTAGTGTGAGAGAGATGTGAGATCATGTATAGGACACAAAGAAATTGTGCTTATGGTGCGGGGTGACCAGGGAACCTGGTGAGCTGTGGTAAGGGATAGTTCCACACCATTAGGGATTAACTTTTTTCTCAAATTTAAACAAATAGTGGACATAGTCAGATTTTTATTTCAGGAAAAAAACTCTTAAAAAATTAAAATTGTGATGGTAAAGATGATAGACATAAGTCAGATAAAGAGTGCATTTCTTTTTGGACAATGTCATCCCTTCCTTCATCCTCACCCAGTTTTTCCCTCTCATCTCCTCCTACCAGTTACATAGTTCATTTCCAACATGGCATCTAGTGAGTGCCAATGTTGCATTCATTCACCCTTTGTCCCAGAAGAAAACTCTTAGCAATGTGTGGGGCAGTGTAGAAATAATTACCAGATGATAGTAAGGGGCTTTACTTATCCAAGCAAGAAAGAGTTGAGGTCTAAATCTTTGCAATAGTAAAGGGATAAAGATGGATAGGCTTGGGATGTGGGATGGAGGAGCCTGGGGTGTGGTCTAGTTAGGAAGGTAATGGTGGAGGTTAATTTAAAATATCAGGTTTTATGAACTTCTATGACACGGACAATTTCCTGGACACATGCTTCTTATGAATATTAAATCATGAAGAAATTGAAAAGACACAAAAAGACCATTAAGAGCTAATGAATTGAATCAATAGTATCTCACCATGGAAAAGCCCTGAATCAGATGATTTCACGATTTAATACAACCAAATATCTAAAGAAAAATGAATTCAAATTCTTTAAAATTATTTAAAAAAGTAAAAGAGTAAGAAATTCATTTAAACTCATTTGATGAAACCAGCATTATCTGGATACAAAAAGCCATAATACAAATCAATATCCTTAAAAATATAAATGCTAAAGTTCTCAACAAAATGCTAGCAAATTAAATCCAACAGTACATTAAAATATTATTCATTATAATCAAGTAGAAATCATTCCAGGGATAGATGTAAAGATGGTTTAACCTTTGTAAATAAATAAATACAATTCATTGTATCAATGGAATAAAAGTTGAAAACCATATGACCATCTCAATCAATGTGGAAAAAGCATTTGGTAAAACCAGTATGACTCCATAATAAAATCGTTGAACAAATAAAGACTATGTGTAACAAGCCCACATCTAACATCTGGGGAAAGCTGAAGACTTTCTTTCTGAGATCTGAACAAGGCAAAGATGCTTACTTTTACCACTTTTATTTATTTTTTGTCTATATAATAAAAATATTTAATGCTGCCAAAAAGTATAAAAATACAGTAGGAATGGCAGTACAATACAAAGTATTCTCTCCTAATTTATTTCTGTTATATCTTTCTACATTTCATACACACATTTAAAAAACACTTAACAATACATAAAATGAAAGAGTTCTGCAAAGTCTTCTGCTGGTGGCTGCTCTTCATTCCCTGGATGTTAAGTTTACTTTGTAAACAGTCAACTGTGAGGCAATCTACAGGTTTAACAAGCCTCACTTTATTTTCTGGAGTGGGCTTCAGGTCTTGCTTTGCGCATCAAAGGTTCAAAATTTATAGCTGCAGAATATTCTCAAGTCATGAATATTTAGGTGTCTGTCAATCTTGGCCTTTTTCTTTTTCGTTCAGTCTCATTTAGCCTCTGTTTCATCTGCTGCACCTTCTGAGTTGTGGTAGCCTTTCAGTCCTCTCGAATACGTTTCCGTAGAACACTCTCGCTGTTTTCCTCCACAGTATCTTGCATTTTAGAGGACAGTCCTGTACACCGGTCACCTGTCAGTTTCTCTTCTTCTAGACCTTGTCTGTTCCCATTATACTTTTCAATGATTATTTTGTTCTGTGAATGATCGAAAGCAGGACTTAAGTCTTCTTTAGAAAGTTCTTTCCACTGTTTCTGTATATTTGAATCTCCCTTTATACACTTTGCTCCTTCTATAATGGCCATATAAGAGAATCTGAGTTGATCTGGTGTCTGAATAAGTCCCATTCGGTATTTTCTCATATTCAGTAACACTTGTTTAATGTTAATATCATCTCCTTTTCCCATCAGAACAAGACATGTGTCTACTAGAGAGAAGGTGCCAGAGTGCCCTATGCCTGCACTACAGTGGATCACTGCAGGCCCGTGGTCAGGGCTCAAGGAGCCAGATTCTCTCACTTTAATCAAGAAATTAAGAAATGAAGCTAGTGATTCAGGAACTCCAAAATCTGGCCAGGTAGTATAATGAAAGTGAGATATTGTTCTGGATTCACCACTATTGATATTTTCTAATTGTAATAGATGTACTGTATAGTATGACTTCACATCTTCAGGCAGGAGCTTCACACTAAATCCAGTTTCTTCAAACAGCATCTCTCGGTCATCTATTGGCCAGTATTGTACACATTTAACAGATTCTTTCTACACAATTTGGTTTAGCATGACAACTGCTTTGGTCTTCTGCTGCCAAACCATGAGCCAGAAGTGACAACATGTGTTAGGAAGTGGACCCTGTGTTAAGATATAACTCCTTCGTGCTTCTTCTATGTCAATTAAGCTGCCATTAATATAATCATTTTCAGTACTTTGCAGTTTAACACGACTATGATCATATGGGCTTACATCTCGGTATCTGTTTCGATCTCTGTTTTCTGGAAACTTGGCCACTCTATGAGGATAGTCATGAGACTTATTTCGAATTTCCAAGTATAGTTGCTGCCAGTGAGACTGAGCATCCAGCTCTTTGAACTCCTGCTTGATGGTGGTAGACATGGCGGCCAGGGAGCGCTGGCGCGAGCGGAAACTGCACCGGTGGAGAGGCTCAGGCCCCGCCTTACCACTTTTATTGAAGGAGACATAGAAGTTCTACTCAGAACAAGAAGTAATAAGAAAAAGCATCCAAACCGAAAAGGAGCAAGTTAAAGTGTCTGTTTTCAGATGCATGGGCCTGAAGGGTGTGTACATGCACATACACACAAGATGCAAAGTCATCTCTTTTTTTTGTTGTTGGTCGTGGGCTTAAACTCTGGGTCTGGTCGCTGTCCTTGAGCTCTTCAGCTCAAGGCTAGCGCTCCACCACTTGAACCACAGCACCATTTCCTGTTTTTCTGGTAGTTTATTGGAGATCAGAGTTGCATGGACTTTCCTGCCTAGGCTGGCTTTGAACCATGATCCTCAGATCTCAGCCTCCTGAATAGCTAGGATTACAGGCATGAGTCACCAGTGTCCAGTGAGTGGAAAGTCATTTCTTATTCCTAATTAAAAGAGTTAATATTCTTAAAAGTTCATACTATATAAAGTGATCTACAGAACATGAAAGATGTGAAAGAGGAATTCAATAAAGACACAAAAACCTTGAAAAAGAGTCAAACTGAAATTGTGGTTCAGTAAATGAAACTTAAAACTATGCAAAATTTCTCCACCAAATATTATTTCTTTTATTCTCAAAGATGCTAAGAAGCTACCAGTGCAGGAGTGGTTGACCAAAGTAATGAGAACCAGTAAGAGCTAGGATTGAATGTCAGAAATGTGAGGATGGTGATTTCAAGTTTCTTTTTCACATATCTGTTCAGGCTCCTGGTGGTTTCAGTGATCTATGGATACAAAACAAAATATCCTATACTTCATGATTTAAAATGGTCACGTGATCACTGTGCACCAGTCTGCACTTTGGCTGGTGACTTTGGGTATGAGCAAGGCTTCTTAGTAGGTTTGCAATCAGCCGAAAAGTTGCCAGACAGCTTTGCTTCTGGGTGTTGGCTAGGCTGCTTTTCTTTTCTTGACATGGTTTCCCCAGCTCTAGCCAGCTAGCCCAGCCTTGTTCACACAAGGCTCTCCAAGAAGGAGAACGAAGACCTGTAAGGAGTCTGATACAGGCGTCTGAATAGGCAGCAATTTTTTTTAACTCATATTCTGCTGACCTAAGAAAGTCATAAGGCTAGCCCAGACACAGAGAATTGTCAAAGAGATCTCTTGACAGCAAGAGCTATGCACCGATGATGGAAGGTACATAATACTGAGATTGTGAAGATTTTTGGAAGTGATTTTATTTTCACGTTTGGCAGTACCGGGGATTGAACTCATGGTCTCAGAGTTGCTTTCTACTACATGAGCCACACCAATGTTTTTTTTAGGGCTTTGTGCTTTTGTCTTGGCTTGCCTCTTACTTCAATCTTTCTCTCACCTCCTGCATAGTTGGATTACAGGCATGTTTCACCATACTGAGAAAGAGCAACTACTTTTTCACCTGACCTCAATGGCTTATGTATATGTTCAAGGTTGAGATTAATGACTAACAAGAGGGTTAATTAAACTAAATTTGGACCGAGAAGGTCTCCATACATTGAGTCTTTACCACACAAACTGCAACCTAACTTAGTATGTAAATTAACAGAATACCTAATTCAGACGCATTTTTTTCTGTTTTAAATTTAAAAAAAAATTATTGTAAAGGTGCTATACAGAGGGGTTACACATAAGTAAGGTAATGAGTTCATTTCTTGTCAAACATTTTTACCCATTCCTTCATTTTCCTCCCACAAATCCTTCCCCCCTAACTCCGCCTTCCCCCTGAAGTTGTAAAGTTCATTTCCAACATAGTGTCTTGTGAGTATCATTGTTGTATTGGGTCATCCTTGTCGTTGTTTCACCATTTTGTTATTCTCCTTCCTTCCCCAAATCAGATAAATGTATATACAAGACACAGGGTACAAGAGTCAAAGACAGTGATTGCCATGGATAAACGAAGGGGAAAAAGAAAAAGGAAATAAAATAAAAAGAAAGAACTTGATATATTACATCAATGACAACAAGGTCAACAACCAAAAAGACCTGCTGTTTCCATGTCTTGGAGTTGATTTTGATTAGCATCATTTTATATGGTCATATGCACATAGCTATTGAGCTACAGTGATCCTCTGCTAGGACTATCCTAGACGTAAACTAATTATTACAAATGAGAGAAACCATGAGCCTACATTTCTTTGGGTCTGGCTTACTTCACTTAATATAATTTTTTCCATCTTTCTTTCCATTTCCTTACGAATGGGGCAATGTCGTTATTGCTAATGGAAGCATAGAATTCCATTATACACACACACACACACACACTCACACACACACACACACACACACACACATCACATCACATCACATTTTCTTGATCCATTCATCTATTGAGAGTCATCTTAGCTATGGTAAATAATGCTATAATGCTGTAATGAATATAGTTGTGCTGGTAGTTTTAGTGTGGCCTTAATAGTGATCATTTGGTTAAATGCCCAGGAATGGGACTGCTGGATCATTGTGGGGTTCTATGTTTAGTTTTTTGAGGAACCTCCATACTGCTTTCTGGAGTGGTTGAACCAGTTTACATTTCCACCAGCAACGGCCACATCCCTGCCAGCATTAGTCATTACTTGTTTTCTTGATAATGGCCATTCTAACTGGGGTAAGGTGGAATCTCAATGATTTGCATTTCTTTTATGGCCAGCAATGTTGTACATTTCTTCATGTGTCTATTGGCCATCCTTATTTCCTCTCCACAGAAGTCTCTCTTAAATTCTTTAGCTCACCTATTAATGGGTTGGTTGTTTCTTTGAGGATTTGTTGTTAGGGGGTTTAATTTTTTGAGTTCCAAGTATATTTTATATATGAGACCCTTGTCTGTTGTATGGCTAGTGAAGATCTTCTCCCAATCTGTGGGCTTTCTATTGATCTTGCTAGCTCTGCCCTTTGCCATGCAGAAGCTCTGCATTTTAATGCGATCCCATTTATCTGGTCATCCTTTGATTTGTTGTGTTTCTGGGTCTCTATTAAGAAAATTTTGGCCTGTGCCAAGGAGCCCTAAATGTTCTCCTATTCCATCCTGTAGTGTTTTCAGAGTGTCTGCTTTGACTCCGAGGTCTTTGATCCATTTGGAGTTGATTCTGGTGTAGGGTGATATATAAGAATCTCACTTAAGTTTTCTACACGTGTATAGCCAATTCTGACAGCACCATTTGTTGAGGAGGCTGTCTTTCTTCCATCTGATAATCTTGGCTCCCTTATTGAAGATCAGGTGCCCATAGGTTTGTGGATCATGTCTGAGTCTTCAATTCTATTCTGTTGGTCCTCAGGCCTGTTCTTGTGCCAGTACCAAGCTATTTTTATAACTACAGCTTTATAGTAGAGTTTGAAGGTTGGTATTGATATTCCTCCAACACTTAGACACATTATTGATGAATAGCTTAGTCATAGCCAATCACTCAGTGGAACTTCAGGAAATCACAATCTGTTAACCATTCAGAGCATCTTCAAATGGGATAACTCTGAGCTGCAAACTATTCAAGCTATTTCTGTGCCTCGCTTCTATTTTCTGTCAATAAATACTGCCTTCTCAAATTGTAGAGCAAAACTGTCTTGGTTTTGAGGGCTGCCCAATGCAAATCATTCTTTGTTCAATTAAGTTCTCTTACGTTTAACTTTCTTGTACCCAAGAGGGCAATTCAAAGGGAGAATTATTTATTTTGGCTCATGGTTTCAGAGGGGTCCGTTCATAGTCACTAGGCCCCGTGGGCTAGCGCAGAAAATCATGGTGGATATGTTGGAGAAAATCCCTCACTTCCTGGCAGACAGGAAGCAGGAAGTGAGCAAGGGACTGGGGGTCAGGTGGCCTACTTTGGCCAACAAGGCCCTACTTCCTATCAGCATTCAATAGGGGACTTGGGGGGACAATTCGTATTTAAACCACAATGAGGAGGAAAGTTAGGTAACATACAGCAAATACACTTTAGTAAATTAATATTCTAAATTAATAATAATAATAAATAATACTCTATTAACTCTATTAAGGTTAATGTACAGAAATATTTATTATATATATATATATATATATATATATATATATTGTCTTGCTTCCCTAATGCTCTTCTCTAGACCCCTGGGAAGGGCAATGCTAGGGTTTTGGGGGATATGGTTTGTTTCCCCTGTGGCTCAAGTATAAGCTGGGTCCTCAGGTGGCAGGGTTAAGAGGAAGTGGAACCTTTAAGAAGTGGTGCTTAGTGAGTGGCTTTATGTCAATTAAGAACATGCCCTAAGAAGAAATTGAGGTATTTTAAATGAGACTCTATTTACTTCTCCTGAAAGGATTGTTAAAAAAGCCTGAATCTGGATCCGTCCAGTCTTTTTCTGGCTTTGAAATGTGCTCCACCTATTTTACATGCATTCCTCCAATTCCCCTCTACCATGATATCATGCAGTTAAGCGGCTAGAGCTGAGCTGGGATAGGCATCATGCCCTTGAACATCCAAAACTGTGAGCTAAGAAAACCTCTAAAGAAACCTTGTTCTGTTATAAAGCCACAGCCAATTCAAGATAGCAAGGAAAATGGACTAACGTAGGTGGTGAGGAATAGAAAATGGTTCCACTGACCCATACTGGTCTGATAGTCTTCCTAGGAAGCCTGCGTGTGAGAGTTGGTTTCTAGAGCATAGACGCTCATTGAGTCTGAGGAAGAGAGAAGACTGGTAGGGTGCTGAGAAAGTCTTTTAGAGAGCCACTAATTGGATTCAGAGGAGGAACAGAAGATTCAGAGTCTACATGGTTATGGAAGACAATATTGAATAAGTAGAGGACCAGATTTGTGTAAACACCAAGCATGTTGTTCTTGTATGTGGCATGTATCATTTTTCTGAATTGGAGACGCCTGCTAAGATTTCAGGGTGTTCATGGATAATAATTTCTCAACTAATTGGTGGGACGTGTCATTTCTTTGGAACAGTGTTTGATGTTCTTAATGGGGTTTCTGACC